AACCTAGTGTGTGCTCAGCAGGCGTCAACAAGTTTATTTTATGCGGTGCTATTTAATTGACATCAATAGACTTTTAATACAAATAATAGTGTTTAATAGTTTAGACATCCTGCTATTGTCATCCATAAGCGAGTAAATCGTTGAAGGCCGCATTACTAGATCACTTGGTTTTTCGCAAAATTAAGTGGCGTGAATGCTGACTTTGATACCCACTTGGACTGGAGTTCATGTTTCCGAGTTTCCTGACCTGGCACTGGATCACTGCTGATTGCAGACGGCAGGCAGGTAAGAAATACCAAATCCAGTCTCCTTTCTCGCCGTCGCTGGTGCCTTTCGGTTAAGTTGATTTGGTTCGCCTGCGCTTACTGAGGAATGTATTACAGAGATGTTTGCAAAGGTGCTCATTTATAACGAGGACTACAGGCTTCACAGATATGGTAGTGGTTTTGGTGGTTGACCCAGCCCGTCAAGTGCTTTACTGGAGTTTTCACCCACCAAGCCAGACCCGTTCCTTACAATATCAAACAGAATTTACCTGCAGTGCATCGATTACGGCGGCTTTTTGTTCCAATTTCGTCTTTATTTCTGCAATGCGCGACTCCTGGCTCCTTATACCGTCTTCTCTTCCTCGAACTTCTGCTGCGGATGTGAGTTCAGCTTTCTCGACTTCCCAACGAGCATTTGCCTCAGATTCACGAAGAGTACATGCCTGCAGCTAAGTGGGAAGAAGTAAGGTTAATTGGGAAAATACGAAGGGAAAAAATCGCGGGGTCGCTTGAAACACAGGACCTGGTGCGCTTCCAGCGATTTGTTCTTATCAAGCTGCTTCAGCGATGTGTGCAACTCTTCATTTGACTCCCAGCATAATTGCCTGGGGAACAAGAAAAATTTTAGTGTGGTATGTTTGGCGCGGCAATAATGCCAGGCTTAACTTTTGGGCAATTAATAGCAGTAACAGAATTTGGGACTCACTCAAACCCACTCGGGGCCAGACCAGAAATTGGTGTTAACATTTTCCTGAAAACATAACCACTGTTTGATCTGTATATTTTTTACCTGGTGTTGGTTCTCTTGCCAAATTTTTTCATGAAGCCTAGAGACCCAGTCCAAACAACTGTTCTATAAAGGGCTCTTTTAAAAGTCAACACTATTTTTTGCCGGATACGTTTACGAACGCTCTTAGTTTAAGTCACAGGAGTCGAGTAACCAATCCGACATTGTGGACGTAGCGTGCATCTGACAGTTCGACACTTGCATCGGTCGATGTCTACCACATGCCCTATAGCATGGTGATGCAGGGACGGTGACTTGCGCAACTTAACAAAACCAGAGACGGGATCGGGCGTTGATGGTTGGCGAGGCGTGAGCTTGCACCTACGTGCGCCACCATCCAGCCATGTTCGGCTTTTATTATGGGAGTGTAACCTGAATAGCGCCTTTCATGTCCTGAGCTTGCCCGAGTTGGTCGAACGCATTTAACACGCGATCAGCGTCAAGCAACTATGACTCCAA